GTCAATTCATACTAACAGTAAAACGAATATAAAGATTGGTGATAGCACAACTATTTATACACAACTTTTATTAAGTTTAAAAAAAAAATACATGATCGTTTATAATATTTTTTTTATTATTAGTAAAGGTCGTTTAATTATTCCATAATTAATTGTTTACTAGTTTAGAAAGTTTTTTTTTTACAACTTCTTTTAGCAGGTTCCATATTTTTAAAATAACAGTACTGGCCCATACGCATAGTAATGTAGTATGTTAAAATATCTGACATAACTTCAATTTTATGTTCAGTACAAGGAAAAGAAATGGAAGTTTTTAAAACATCATTCACTGTTAAATTAAATACATCTACATCTTCACAAAATCTTTCAAAAGAATTTTCTATTGTTTTAATTATATTGAAAAAGTTAAAATTAGGGTGTATTAAATAACCTCTAGATTTAATGTTTGTAAGTGAAGCTACTGATTTATTAGAAGATGTAGAAGATGTATTTTGAAGAAATGCTAAACATCTTTCACAAACATAACGTTTAACGATTGATGACCATGAATTGTTTATAAGTATATCCTTAGGTGCACTAAATAAACTGAAAACCGTTTTGCTTTTCCGGCTGCGACAATTTAAAACATAGCACTTATTAACCATTTTAAATAAGTAAGTACACGTATTATACGTAATAACAGGACATAGTTCATGAACAGGACTACAGGACAAATCCATGATATAACGATTATTGTTGTTATTAATATAACCATAGAACAAATATAACTAGAATTATAAATAATCTTTTTTTAGAAACTACATTTCACCGCTAGATGGCTCTAGTGCAGATATAAGGAAGTCAGTGACAGTACGTGTCCATACCTCTATCTGCTCCCGCCCATGAGTGTTCCGTCCTATTAATCATAGTTCATGGTAGTTAGACAGGCAATCTCTAAGCCCAGATGCCGAATTTCTGGTTGGTAAATGGTTGTTTTCATTTTCTAATTCAATTCCAATATTCATATTTATCTCAGTTTAGTTTAGTTAAGCTCTAAATTCTCTGCTTAGAATAAAATTATGTAATACACAAATACATCGTATAATATTGTCTATTGTTTCTTCATTTACACATAAAATTGATGTACTTAGTACCTTAAATTTAATAGCCATCATCCCAAAAGCACATTCGATTGTTTTTCTTCCTCTATTTAATCTATAATTAAAAATTCTTTTTTTGTTATCAAGTACTCTTCTTTTATAAGGCCTCATCAATTAATATAACTTAAGAGGAAAAGCTTCATCCGCCGCAAAATAGTATGGAAACATTTGTATACCACCTTGGTCGTGAGGCAATTTGATGCATGTTGATATTTCAAGACCATTTATATCCAACCATCGGCCTAAACGACAAGCTCTAAACACCCCACCGTCACTATTTCTCCCTGCCTGACCAACATCAATTGTTGTAAATATACCATCTGCATCACAACTCGCCATAAGTACCAGTGAGTGGTACAATTTATAGTTAAAATTCGATGAACCAGATTTCGGAATCTTTTGTATTCTAATGTGTTTCCCATCTATAGCACCTATCGATAATTAAACAAAAAAAATGTTATTTTTAGTCTTAATATACTTTTACATGCTTATTTGTATTCATATTTAAATGGTTTGTAGTCAATACTGGTGTCGCGTCATTTGGTCGAGGTAAAAAGAGCGCGCGTTATAAGAGCGAGGTCATTTGGTCGCCAGCATTTAATCGCGGTACATAAATAGCGTTAGCTATATGAGCGCGATAACAATATGATACTGATATTGAAACTGCAGTTTCCTAGTGTGTATGCTGTTCTTGGAGTAGTTACAGCTAAAGTATGTAGGTACTTATGTTATAATCAAAATAATATTATTATAATATTATAATTTTTTTTTAAACTGTTTGGACTGATATTAATTTTGCTAGTCAACTACCACCAATCAACCAATTAAAACGTATAGTACAACGTACAAGAAAACAAATCAGTTCAGCATTACCTAATCCAGCAACATTATCTGATCTAAGTATTCCAGATGAGTATAAAAAATCTGTAAGTGGTGAACCATTTTTATTATACTATAGCTTTTTGGAGAATGTTGATAATAAACAAATTTTATTGTTTTAAAAAACGTGATACCATTAGTTTACGTTCTTTTGCCCGATAAATCCGAAGATACATATCGCCGAATGTTTGTAGCATTAAATTCGATTAAATCTAATCTGAATCCAAAACTTTTCATGTTAGATTTTGAAAAGGCCGCCATGAATGCTGTAGTACATGTTTACCCTGAAACACAGGTTAAGGGTTGTTTTTTCACTTGGGTCAATCTTTTTGGCGTCGTATCGAAAGTTTGGGACTTTCAAAAAAATACTCAGAAGATCCAGAATTTTCATTATGTTTACGTAAAATATTGGCTTTAGCTTATGTCCCAGAAAATAAAGTTATTGATTCTTTTGAATCATTAATTAGTACAAATTTTTACGAAAAAAATCAAAACTCATTAACTGAACTCCTAGATTATTTTGAAGATACGTACATTGGTAGACCGAACAGAAGAGGTCATAGAAGACCTGCATTATTTGATATTAGTATTTGGAATTGTTATGAATTAATCCAAAAAGACATTCCACGCACAAACAATGCAATGGAAGGTTGGCATAACGGTTTTAATTTTATGTTGAATGTAGTTCACCCGTCCATATGGACATTTATTAACGCATTAAAAAAAGAAGACAATTTAAATCAATTCAAAATGGAACAAGCAATTTCTGGATATTCACTTCCTAAAAAAAGAAAATATAATGATTCAGATCTACGGATTAAAAATTTGGTATTACAATTCGAAATTAAACTTATTGACAGATATTTAAGGGGCATAGCTGCACATTTTCAGCTACAAATTTAGTATAATTATGACTACCTATAATAATATAATATGATAAAATTGATTATGGTTTTTTGACTGAATTGCATAATTAATTTATGGAATTTTATATATCAATTTTGTTTTACTGATCAGTGATTATATATTTACACTAATTTTTGTTGATTTTATAATAATTCAAAATTATGGTTTTTTTACTTTACGCTCTTATAATATGCGCTCTTTTTGCTTACGCGATTAAATTGCTAGCGACCAAATGACTTCGCTCTTATGACGCGCGCTCATTTCACGGCGACCAAATGACGTGGAACTGTCAATATTATAGCACATCATAATATAGCCATTTTTTTTATTATATTATATTAAAATTGTTTATGCACCTATACAGTTTGGAAGATTCCGCAGAATCTTGAAGGACGCCGATATAAATCTGGAATTTAAATCCTTGGAATGTACGAACATGGAATGTGCAACATTGGAATGTACAAATCAGGAACTCCAAATTTCAAAACCTGGAATGTACAAACCTGGAATGCACAAATCTGGAATGTACAAATTAGGAATTTAAAATTTAAAAATCTGGAATGTACAAATCAGGAACTCCAAATTTAAAAACCTGGAATGTACTAGTACTAGTAACCGTAGTAGCACAAGGATTCCTACCGGAAAGTAAATTAGAGTCCTGTTCAGGACTTCAAAACAGGTAATAAAAAGGATACTGCAAGAAGTCCTCTTTAGTCCCATGAATGTTCCATTCTAGACTACAGAAAATCTAACAAATAACACATAAGCAGGAGTCAAATAGAATCCTATTAATACACCGCTAAGAACTCCCTCACCAATGGTAATAGGACACTGATAGGATAGTCGAAGCATTTAAATGTATGTACCTACTACTTCAATTTATTTTTTTTTATATTATGGTATATACTTACATACAACTTATACAACCTACCATGTGCAAGACACAATATTGTATGCAATGTGTCAATGTGTGTATGGAAACGTTTCATTTATAAGATATAATATAATACTTATACTTGCAGCTATACTAGCTATTATATAAGTTAGGTAAGTGTATAATATAATTTTTTTTTTTTTTTTTTCATTTATAAAGTTTTCCTGACAATTGTTCATCTAAACTTAAGGCTAAAAGAATATAATATTTGACATTTTGAAAAAGGTTATCATAAAAAGAAAAAAAATTACCAAATCAGTAAGAATTGATAAATTAGAATTTAACAATGTTTATGAGCTTAGATCTAACTATATTTTTACAACAGTAATAGGTATGTACAATTAAGATTTAATTAAGAATTAATAAATATGAGATAATATAATAATATGTATGTTATTTATTATTATGTACTTTTATGGAACCTAATCTTTTACATACAACTACCCACTAAATATAAAAACATTTTTTTTTGTTACACACATTTTACATAACACTTATAATACTAGTAAAGTAGTACCTATTAGAAAAAATAAGATACTTGTACATACTATATTTAATTCTACATATTATATATATATATATATATATATATATATATATACAATATTATATTGATATATACAACAACAATATCGCTCCCAGTTTTTCTACATTTTCTCCGGTTACAGTTGGTCGTTTTTTCCGTTTTAACTCTTAACAGTTCTATAAAAAGTGCGCGCGTAGACCGGTGTCGGTTTTGAGTCGGTCTGCTCAAAATTTTCCCTCTAAGGGCAGTTTTTCTTTGTATTTGTTGAAATTTACGTCCGCCGGTTATTTTAAAGTTTTTATCGTGTATTCTGGTTGACTCGGCCATGCTATCTCCCGCCGCCCGTTAATTACCTACCCGACGCGATACGGGCCACACGCGTGCGATACATAAACTGTGTGCCTAGTAGCATTTATAAACGACGCGATCACTTATACACCGCGAGTCAAGTGACTTCCTTATCTTCATATTATCCCTTAATTTACCTATTCCTTTATTATTTTAATCTACTTTTGACGTCAAATCTGCATAATGACTCCAACCCCAACTAAATCATCACAAATTACAACTAGATCTGCAACTGTTAATAAAAAAGCTTCGTCTCCTGTTAACATGGATGATCTTCATCACTCTATCGCTGAGATTCGCAGTTCTCAGATTGATATGCTTGTGTAAAGCTATGAATTTGTCACAAAACTCTAAACTAGCTGAATTGTTATCAAGTATTGATTTTCTTAAATCCCAACTCGTTGATATAAGGTCGGAAAATACTACTCTCCGCAACGAAATTGCTACCCTCAATAACAAAATTCAAGTTTTGGAGAATTCTACTGATGGTTCAAGTAACATGCCCCAGCTGATCCAAGAATTGGCTAACCGTGAAATATGTGCTTGTAACATTATAGTACATGGTCTCCAAGAGTCTTCGTCCAATGATCCTACAGTTCGAATTGCTTCTGATATTAAATTACTCGGTGATAATATTCATCCGTTTAACTTATCTTTACCTCAAGATCTTAAGTTATTTAGGTTGGGCCGCAAGATAAGTGGTAAACCTCGACCTCTAAAGGTGGTACTTCAATCGAAGGAAATGGCTCTCAACTTGGTGTCTGTCTTCAACTCTCATAAGCGAACACAATCGGTCCCTGCTAACTCAATCTCCATCTCACGGGGTCGCACCCTCCTTGAGCACCAAGAAATTCGTCGTGTCTACACAGAGCTTGAGAACCGTAAGAAAAACGGTGAACACAACATCTCCATAAAGTATAGGAATGGAATTCCACTTATTGTACCTAATAGTGGTGGTGTTTCTGGTAGTCACTCGAATCATCCATCTTCTTCGCTTTCAAAAAACTAGTCACCTGCATGCATTCATTCATCTCCAAGGACTGTCATCATCCTATCTTCACGGTAACCCCTAACTGTACTATTTGTAATAATCTCAATTCTTCCATGAATATCTATGTATATGAGTTTCTCTCATTCAAAAATAAATTCTCTAAAACTAATTATCTATCGTTAAGTAAAGAATTGTATAATTTAAATTTGTATTACCAAAATGTTAGAGGCCTTAGATCAAAATTATTCAATCTGCATTCTAACTTTGTTCTTTTATCATATGATATTTTTTTACTAACGGAGACATGGCTCTCTGATGATATAAACAATGCCGAGCTTAACTTTTCCGGTTATACTATATTTAGATGTGATAGAAGCACTCATTCTAGCAACCTCTCTCGTGGTGGTGGAGTTCTTATAGCAGTTAGGAATAATCTACGCCCTCAGCTTGTCCCTACTGGTGTACAAAATGTCGAACAGTTATTTGTTCGTATTTCTGTAACAAATAAACTCTCTGCTCTCATTAGTGTGGTATACATTCCCCCCAATGCAAACTTGTCACTTTATGATACTTATACGAAATCTGTGGACCTAACGTGGGAATAATCTAATTGTAATCTAGGTGTATTTTGTGGTGATTTCAACTTACCAGGTACAACCTGGAGTTCCTCTAACCAGGGTCTCAAGTTTAGTGGCACAGTCAATGATAAATCTTCTCTGATTGGTGATCAATTTATCAGTATGGACTTCCTCCAATTGAATTCTATATACAACAGTTCTAGTTCCCTTCTTGATTTGATATTCGCTAATAAAGAAAGTATCGATGTTGATGTAGCTCCAGTCAGTCTTGTCCCTTGTGACATATATCATCCAGCTTTGTCATTTAATTATCAATTTCCTGTCCCTTTATTTATGCTAGATGATAGTCACTCGTATCGTGATTTTAACAATGCTGACTTTGACTCTATTGCTAAAGCCTTAGCTGACAATGACTTATCTACTACTTTTAACATTCAGCCTGCTGACTTATCTGCCACAAGGTTACAGGATTCTATTCTTGACGCCATTCAACGATTCGTTCCACTTAAACCATTTCGTAGATCAACCTTCCCATCATGGGTTTCCCCTGTTCTCAAATCTCTTCTTTTTAAAAAAAAATTCAAAAAACAGGCTCGTTTCATGACTACAACTCGTTCTCTAATCTACGTTCTCAATGTAAAGCACTATCTAAATCATGTTTAAGGACTCATATCAATGTTGCTCAGTCTCGACTTGCCTCTAGCCCACGTGATTTTTGGTCCTTCATAAATAGGAGTCGTGACTCTTCTTCGATTCCTAATCAAGTATACTTGAATGATATCTCTGCCAATGGTCCTGATGTTGCTCAACTTTTTCTTCTTTCTTTGCCTCTACTTATAAACAACCTTCAGCTGCCCCTAACTTAGCTCTAATGAATATTGAAATCCAGCAGTTCTCCTTCTTCTTCTTCTTCTTCTTCTTCTTGGGTTAATCGGCCGCTAGGACCATCCCGTCTCACAACCAATTCTCCAGGCATCGCCAAATCCTTCCAGTTTGCTCCGCCTCCTAAGTCTTCTATATCTCTCTTAACTAAATCTTCCCATCTCAATTTTGGTCTTCCCAAGGGCCTTTTTCCTACTGGATTCTGTTCTAGAACCATTCTTAGTAAAGAGTTCTGGCTTCGGATTGCATGTCCTGCCCACCGCAATCTTTTTTTCTTGATCGTCTCTGCTATGTTATTTTCATTAAAAATTTCTTGTAGCTCTATGTTTTTTCTTCTTCTCCACTCTCCTGTGATGTTATCTTTTATTGGGCCGAATATCTTTCGTAATATTCTCCTTTCTAGTATTAAGAACTTATTCTCATCTGATTTCCTTAGTGCCCATGTTTCCGATCCGTACAATATCACTGGCCGTATTAGACTAGTATACAAACGTCTCTTTATCTCTCTTGATAATGATCTAGAACTTAATAGTTTCTCCAAACCATAATAATTCCTGTTTCCCGCTTGGATTCTCGCGGCTACTTCCTTGGTGATATCATTTTTTTCAGTCACAATTGAGCCAAGATATTTGAAAGAATTCACTCTCTTAAATTTAAAATGATCTACCTCCAAAACTTGATCCATCCAATTTTGTCTACCTATAATCATATATTCAGTTTTTTGTTCATTAATTTGTAGTCCTACTTTCTGTGCTGCGTCATTTAGTCTGCCACAGAGCCGTTTAACTCCATCTTGAGATTCGTCCATCAGTACTATATCATCGGCATATGCCATTTATCTATTACCATTGAGGAAGTATCTGATGCTCTCAAGACGTTATCAAATGTCCGTGGGGTGGGCCCTGATGATATTCCAGCTTCTTTACTTTTTAAATGTCGTGAGGTGCTTTGCTCCCCCCTCTGTACTATTTTCAACAAGTCTCTCACTGAGGGCTCTTTTCCAGCTGTTTGGAAAATTAGTCGTGTTACACCGATCCTAAAATCTGGTGATCCAACTCTAGTCATGAATTATAGGCCAATATCAAATCTTCCCTTTATTGGCAAACTTTTTGAACTGATAGTTCTTAAAAAAATTGAACGCCCTCTTCATTCTACATTGTCTACAGACCAACATGGCTTTTTGCTGGTCGTTCCACTATAACCAGTTCACTAGATTTTTCTTGTTTTATCCGTGATGCCTTTAGAGATAATTCCCAAGTTGACGCTATTTTCACCGACTTTTCAAAAGCATTTGATTCAGTTGATCATAACTCTCTCATCTACACCTTGGATAAACTGGGAATTGGTTTTCCTCTTTTATCATGGATTCGCTCATACCTAGTGGATAGATGGTAATATGTTAAGTTGTTCAATATCTCATCAAGTAAATTTAAAGTTTCTTCTGGTGTTCCGCAAGGTGGACATTTATCTCCACTACTATTTAATATTTTTGTTAATTCAATATTTAGCAATGTCCCGTCGGTCCGTTTACTTCTTTTTGCTGATGATGCTAAGCTGTTCTCCAGGATATCTTCCAGTACTGATTGTGACGTCCTTCAATCATCATTCAATAATTTTATTAGCTGGTGTCAGGCTATTGGCCTTACCCTAAACTTTGATAAGTGTAAAATCATATCATTCTCCAGATCACGGATTCCTATGGATTACGTATATACTTATAATGACTCACCCCTAACTCGAGTATCTGAAGTAAAGGATCTAGGTATAATATATACCTCCTCACTTTCCTTCAGACCTCATATTGATTATATCACTTGTAAGGCCTTACGTCTTCTGGGGTTCATACGCCGCCACACCAAACACTTCAACTCAGCACCTTGCATTATAACCCTTTATTCTGCTCTCATTCGTTCAATTCTCGACTATGGTTCAATCATTTGGAATCCTCATCTTAAAACGGAAATAAAACTTATTGAACGAGTCCAGACTCGATTCCTAAACTATTCAGGCTTCTTATTAAAAATTGAAAACCCCCTACACTCATACCAACCTGTCATGGGCGCGCTTAATCTCCTCTCCCTCGAGGAAAGGCGACTAATTGCGGATCGTAACTTCCTTTTAAAATTAATCCAGGGTAAAATTGATGCTCCGCGTCTCCTTGAGCGTATTAGCTTTAGAGTTCCTACCGCCAATACCAGATCAACCAATTCCTTTCACATCCCAACTTCCCGTTCAAACTTTTTATCTAATTATCCTTTAGAGCTATGCGCAATTTAAATAATAATAATTTTGATATATGGCCTTAAATTTTGTATTCTCCTAACGTGTGTAATTTTCCTATTATAATTATTATTGTTCTTATTTTTTAGTATATTGTTAACATTATCATTTATGTATATTATTCTTATCACTAACGTTAATTTATGTAATATCGTTATTGCTATATGTAAAAAGCCGTTTGGCGTTTATACAAAAAAATAAAAAAATAAAATAAAATACCTGCATAGTAGTGGCAGCTACTGTACATTTACCATGTATATCCAAAATTCTAAAATCTGTGGGCACCCACAACCCGTTTCACACCATTACCCAGTCTACAGAATTTAATTGTTTTCATTGTGTTTTTTGTAAGTACATATTGTAGCATTTTACATAGCCATTCAAACACACGGCAAGCACCTACCCACTTACCCACCAATACCATGTGTATCTGTTGATACACTTGAGGTATAGGATAGCCGGGACTGATACCTAAACATATATTTTAACTAGTCTAACTTGTAATAATATCATCCCTTTTGTGACAATATAGATACCTACCTACATTTAAAGTGTTTGTATATTTAATTTTTTCAGTTATTATCATATTCATATATTATACAATATAAAAATCCAATAATCCCAAGCTATAAAGCAATAATTAATTACAGAACAAACATTAGGAATATTTTATATCGAATAAGAGCACCGATATAAATATGTAAGTAAAAAATATTTATTTTATTTTATTGAAGTAGGTACCTAGTATAATATAGATATTAGTAATGTTTTTACCTAAAGGGCTGTATCGCTAAGGAGGTAAGGTACAGTAACGTACGCAGGTTTTTAGTTCAGTAAGAGTTTTACCTGAATGAATTATTTATATTAATTTTTGACAAACTGTTTTTATATAATTAGTTATAACAAATTATAACTAATAATAAATTAACAACTTATTTTATATCTATTAAAAATTACCAACAATTGATCTACTCTGTGTACTGAAATGGTGGTAAATAAGATTTTTTATAAATGAAAAAATTTCAGGTGGTATTAGAACCCTAGAACTCTATCCCTGAGTACGCCACTGGTAAGGTATCTTGGTAATACACTATTCCAGTTTAAATACAAGTACACATTTTAAAATATACTGTACCGTCTATATTATATTGTGTATGATGTTAAAGTGATAGGTAAATAAATTTAGCACTCAGCAAATATAACTCATAATATATTTGATATTTATAGGAAGTTAATATAGATAGTTAATTATTGATGTTAAAAGAAATTTAATTTGGCTTTTATTCTGGTACCTATGAGAAATTTATTATTCTAATGCCAGCAATAGGTACATTTTCTACTGAACATTATAGAAATTAAAAATTAGATTGTAATTACTATTCATGGTTAATTTGGTTTAGCTTATGCCTAATACCTTTATTTATTAGGTAATTATTTTAAATATTATATTATTATACATTAACATAATTATAGACATTTGTTTTTTATATTTTTATCAGTATTTTAAATGAACAGATTCCTACCACAGTAATTAGATTGATTTGTTTTTTTTTCTTTCACTAACACTTCAAAGGCTGGGTTTGTATTTTATATAATCTAGAATATTTGTATATTTTTAGGTATACTTAAAATTTATTAGTGTTCAGAAGTAACAAAATGTTATTGTGGATTTTTTTTTTTAATTCTCTGTAGTCCTTACATATATTATATACAATGGAATATCAACCTTCAAATTCCAAAAGTAAAAAGTTAAACAAATGTAAAAGTACAAGATATCGCAACCGTAAAAAAGCTGAGTTGGCAGTCTTGAATTTGTTAAATGATTCTACTGTAGGAATATCATCATTGTACGATAACGCATCCGATCAATTTCAAGCCAAAATTAAATTACCCACGGTAGAACAAAATAATTTAATTGGTTCAACTTCTAACAAATCGTTTGATTATGTATCGGACTCAATCGACTCACTTGAAAGTGGTTTAAATACAAATACTCTTGATGACAATCTTAAAGAAACAACAAATAATAACATAATAGAAGACGATTATGAAGATTTGAACTGTAGTACTTCTGAACCAGAAGATTTTGAAAATTTAAATTTATTAATTGCGTTGTGGGCTCTACGTTATCGTATATCTCATAAAGCTTTAAGTGAACTAGGTACCGAAAAGTTTAAAGTTTCCTTGTTTTTCAACAAAAAACTTACCTAAAGATGCACGTACATTATTGAATACACCAAAATCTACACCTGTACAAGAGATGTTTGACGGGGCCTATTATCATTTTAGCATTAAGTCTGAAGTCTGAGTTGTTACTCCAAAATTATAAAGAATATAATATACAAAAGACTTTGTTATTAGTTGTTGGAATTGATGGCCTTCATTTAACAAAAAACCCTCCTAGTCAGTTATGGCCAATTCTTGGTTACTTTTTTAATGTCAAGGAAAAAAGACTAAATGTAATTATCATAGGAGCATATTTTGGAAAAACTAAACCAAGCAATTCTAATAGCTTTTTATTACAATTTGTTAATGAAATGAATGAACTTTTTGATACAGGTGTTACTCATAATAATCATCATGTCAATGTAATATTGCATGCATTAATTTGTGATATGCCTGCAAAATCGTTTGTACTAAACCTAAAAGGACATACTGGAAAAAAATCATGTGTAAGATGTACTATAACTGGAGAATGGTCTAAAAAAAAAGTTTGTTTTCCAGATTTATATTTTCCCATGAGATCACATCAAAGTTTTATATCATATGAAGATAAGAAGTATCACCAAGGAGAAACTATACTTACAAAAATCCATATTACATTAATATCAGTTCTTCTATTCCATATGATTATATGCATTTAAATTGTATTAAAAACTTTTGGTGTTTTGGGTACATAAAAAACATGATCTTAATTTGCCATCTCAATAAGTAACTGTTATGGGTAATAAAATTCTTATCATCTTATATACCTGTTGAATTTCAAAAAAAAACTGAATACCCAAGAATGCATCAGTTGAGGGATGTTAGCCGATGGTAGGCTTCAGAATTAAGACAATGTCTATTGAATACAGTAATAGTTGTATTTCAAAACGTTGTAAAAAAAGAAGTGTATAATCATTTTGTAGTTTTGTCAGTAGCAATGAGAATACTCCTTGTAAAGTGCACTTATTACTTCAATAACTATGCAAATTTGTTACTTAGACAATTTATAGAAACTTTCAAAAGTCTGTATGGTCAGTCATATGTATCTCATAATATCCATGCATTATGTCATCAAGCTGAAGACGCTAAAAAGTACGAATCATTAGAAAGCATTTCAGCTTTTCCGTTTGAAAATTTTATGCAACCTTTAAAACGTGATGTACGAACCGGAGTAAAACCTCTACAACAATTAATCCGTCAGTATGAAGAGCGTCGTGCATATACATTGAATGTGAATCAAACTCAGTTATGTAAAGAAGGGCCAATAAATGCTGTTTGTCAAAGTGATAGACCATTAATTTCTGGTATTGGGTTTCCCCTTTATACTGGTTGGCGTTTTGACGGCTATACAGTGAAAATTAACTTAGCTGATAGTTGTGGTAAAAATTGAAAAATGGATTGATTACTGTAATAGAAAATATTGCTACATCAAAAAAAAAAATAATGAAACTGTTATAATTGGACGCCGCTATAAGAAGATAGAAAACCTTTTTACTGAACCGTGTCAATCTTCAATTTTGGAAATTTATAAAGTCTCTTATCTTTGCCCTTTAGAATATTGGTATCTTAAAAATATTAAGGAAAAACTCATCAGATTACCTTTAGGAGATAACAGCATATCTGCAGCTGTTATTTTTCCATTTTTACACTTAAAATAATACTATTATTTATTAATTTTTTTTATATTTATTTGTACATATTTTAAACACTTATAATTGGTTTTTTTTTAAATATTATATTCCATTAAATTGATTGTAGTATAATAAGTAATTATATAGCATACAATTTCTTATATTTGTTCATAAATAAATCAAATCAAGAGATTTTATTTCTTTACCTATATTTATTACAAGTAGGTATAATACCTAAATACCTAATCAAATACACCATATTATTATTTAGTAACAATAAAATGTGATATAGATCATGGATAGTTGTTCTGTTTACTGATGAGAAAATGTACAACATGTACTTACCAAATGGTTTCAACTAAAGCCCAATAAAAAGAATAGGGTTGGAAAATGTTGGTTTCCCTTTACCAAATCAGGATTTCCGAATGTTAAAATTAGCTTTAAAACTCATCAAGTTGAAAAAATGATTCGTGATTGTTACACTAAAAACACAAATGATGGAAAATGGTTCAATGCACAAAAAATATCTGGTCCTTTTAGTGAGTTTCTAAACATTAAAGTTTTGAGTTGAATATTAACTGATATTTATTAATTGTTTATTGCAAGGTAAAGAAAAAATAGCAAAAGCAATGTTAAAATCTCTATCCGGTAATGATGATAGTGATTTTGAAACTATTGATTCTGACAATAGTGATTTTGAACAAGCGGATTCAGAAAATAGTGAAACTGCAGCTGATATAAATGCTAAAACCTCTTTTAAGAAAAGTTCAACTAGTTATAAGTGTTTGATCGCCGATACGCTCCTGCGAATTAGGCGGTTGGCAATATCGACTTGCAGTGTAAAGAGCTAAGTAAATAAAACACAGAAAGTTGACCCCCCGGTGAATAATACTAGCGAACAACAAAATATGACTCTGTATATATAGTCGCGGCGTACGAGACGCCTAACAAACAAAACAATATATTATTATATATATTAACAGAATAGGTAAATAATTACGAAAAGACGCTCCAATATAAATAGTATAAATTACAAACCAACAAAATTACAGCATTACAAAATATAATTGTGGCGGTTGCACACGGTTATTTCACCGATAACACACAAACAACAGACGTTAAGACTAGTGATGTGAGAAAAAAATCGATTTTTCGGACCGATTCTGGGGTGCACCGATTCGATTCGATTCAATTTGATAAGAATCGGCAATTTTTTTTAAATTTTTTTTCCCGGTTTATCGTTACTGGCTTACAGCCGAATTCCGAGTCCCGGCCACAGTGCTTATTTGGACCGAGATGTTGGCCACACTGAATAATCCCGATACCCTATGAATCGTCGTTATTCTTAATTCGTACTTCGTAATTTCGTAATTCGTATTTGCAGTTCGTACTGTTCGAAGTGTTCGTCTTTGTACTGATTGTAATTTGTATTGTTCGTTCTTCGTACATCCGAGTCCGACATTTTGAAATTTTAGCTTCGCATATTCGACTTTTTTCATCTTATTACATCCGTTTTCTGTTAGTACCGTGTGGCTTGTGTTATAACTTGCTTTATCGATCGTAAAAATTGTTGTGTATTTCAATAAGTATAATATAAAATACAACCTGCCGCTGTTTGCGATGTGCGTGACACGTGTGCCGTTTCGCATTGATCGTAGCACCTTTCGTACCTAACATTTTTTTTTGTATTTTAATAAGAATAATATAAAATACAACACGCCGCTGTTTGCGACGTGCGTGTGCTGTTTCGCATTGATCGTAGCACCTATCGTACCTAAAAATGTTTGTGTATTTTAATAAGAATAATATAAAATACAACACGCCACTGTTTGCGACGTGCGTTTCGCATTTATCATGTCCGACAAATCAAATTCAAACAAAGTTCTATTTGGAGTTATTCTAAAAATACACCTGATCCGGAAGTTGTTACCTGCAAACTATGTGAAGCTCCAGTTAGACCATGCGGTAATACCACAAACATAAGGAACCACATAAAACGAAATCATTCAGTCGCTAATGTTGCTGTTAGTAGAAAGACCACTAAGACTAAAGTTTACCGAACATCAATGGCATCAAGCAGTTCGACACATAATGAAGATATTGACGATCCAGATGAACCTAATTTTGATGTAAATAAGGTAAAATACTAAGATGCTCAATAGTTATTAATAAAGTGCTTTTTTTTAAATATAGTCTCATGAAACACAGACCACGTTAAATTTTGTTGCTGTTGAAACGAGTCCACATTCGGGCATCGAGGAAGATTCATTTGGTTCATTCAGCGGATCCCTTGCATCAACACCTACATCCACAAGTGTGTCATCAAATACACAGTCTGTGTGGTTAAGGCAAAGAACCATGTTCGAGTCGTTTTCGGACATAAAATCATATGACAGTAAGAGTTAATTTTTTAATTCATAACTTTAAAATTATAATGAATTGTCCAAATTGTTTTAGTATTTGGACATAAGACACTCTCGATAACTAATGAGGTGACATACATGATAGCAAAAGACAATATGCCATTATCAACCACCGAAAAAGAAGGATTTAAATATTTTATGCAAAAAGCAGCGCCTAAGTATAAACTTCCTTCCAGGAATACAACAACTAACTTAATAAAAAGTAAATACGAAGTGTTATCAAATTTAATTAAATCCAAACTCAGCGTGATTGATTATTTAACATTAACATCAGACAGCTGGACTGATACAATCAACACGAAAAGTTTTCTGAGCATGACTGTTCATTATTTTGATTCATCTAAAGTTGCCCTACACAGTATCACAATAGGCGTACTAGAACTTTCTACCAACCATACCTCTGAAAATATTTCAATTTGGTTTGAACAACTTCTTACAGACTGGGGTATAAATAAAACTCAGGTTTTCACAGTAGTAACTGATAACGGGTCAAATATTTTGGGTGCAGTTAAAAAAACTTTTACTCCAGAAAAGCATTTTCCGTGTTTTGCACACACGTTAAATTTAGTGTCTGAACGAACGTTGGGAAATCTTGCTGATGTAAAACAAGTTATCAACAAAATAAAGTCTGTTGTTACTTATTTTAAACATTCAGTAGTTGCTTGTGATGAACTTAAGAAATTGTGTAATCTTAAGCTGAAGCAGTCTGTACCAACTAGTTGGAATTCTATATACTATAATTGATTGATAGATTTATTTCGTGTACCAATCATACAGCCTCTGTTTTAATAAATATACGTGGGGGCCCTATAATGTTAACTGCAGAAGAAATTGATTTAGCAAAAGAAATTATATTAGTGTTAAGGCCAATGGAAGTGGCAACAAAAGAGCTGTGTGGCCAGAAATATGTAACATGCAGCAAGGTAATACCTTTAATAAATTGTCTTATAAAAAAAACTGAAGGTATATTACTCTTTTAAATCCAATCGCTTTAACGTTAAAAAAGGCCATGCTAGAGAATCTAAATATTAGATTTGGTAGGATGGAGGACATTGGTTTGCTTACTGTGGCCACCATATTAGACCCGAGATTCAAAACAATTCACTTAAATAACCCAAACGCTACTGCTAGGGCTATTAAATTTATAAAAAAAAAATTAGTGAAATAAAAAATAATGATGATCTTCTCCTCGTGCCAAGGCTCGATACTTATTATTAATGTAATATTTTACATTTTGTACTTTAGTACTAATATAATATATTACTGCTAGTACACACTACATAATATCAAGAATGTTACTTAAATGAGTAAAATGCGTTGATAACAGTAATAGGTCAACATTTTAAAAATATTAAGTTTCAAAATTCAAATTACTCAGAACAAATAAAAAAATTAATGCGTGAAAAAAAATTAACAAAAATATAATGTACCAAATTTACTAAGTTAGAATCAATTAAATAATATGTCACTTTTATGTTTAAATTCAGTCACTTAGTCACTTTTTTTATATAGCTTTAACCTCTTGCAGCCCTGCCGAGGTGGTAATTAAACATTAATAATTAACATATTTTTAACTAAGTCAAATATTTCTTATAACTACAATTTTGGTATTGAATATATTGTTTATTAACTATTAAGTATTAACTTAACTAATATTTTTTCTCATAAATTTTCCCACTTTGATAATGGCAAAATTCAATAAAGTTATTTACCTATTAGGTTCTTTTGTAGACTTTTGTCTACAAAAGTTATTGTTACAAATAATATACTGACTTCTGAGACCTCTATAGTCTATAGGAACCCTAGTCTATTAAAATCTGTTTTGAAAATTGAATATACCTCTTTAAGTTAACAATTATTTACCTAGTAAAACAATTAAATCAATTTATGATTTTATGAACAAGTGTTTTATTACCAAAAAATAATGTGTGTAACCATGGCTTGCCATGTGTGTAAAATTAAAATGTCCAAAGTCAGCTACGCAGTGCAAGGTCTCCGATACCTATTGTCCGATACCTATTATCTGTACACAATAGTTTTATTTTTATTTTTTTTGTCTTGCCCCTTCTACACTAAAGTCCCATATTGTAGTCGTAATCTGTATAGTCGTGACCCCAGTAAAGGCATAGACTATACTTGAATCCCTTTTCCCTATTTCCCCTGTTAGGTTTCTATATTATCGATTATTGGTATAATGTATCATCATCCCTGGACTAGTCAGGTCAATTATAATGGGTAGGTCTTATTATTCTTAAATTTTTTTTATTATTATTATAATGTGTTCGCACAAACGTGCTGGTATTCATATTATTATAATCACAACTTGCATATCTATTATTATTATCATTTTGAGTTTAATATAAATCAACAGTTAAAATTTTTAAATATAATTCCCCTGTCTTTTAATATAAATATTATATAACATTTTCCCAAAGTCATAATCACATAACAATCACCAAAATTCAGTAACTTCTCTTGACAACAAATGGTTCTCGGTCCTGACTAGCACAACACCTACAACAACTTGTTGGGAGGGTTATGTAACGTCACGGAATTTTGGCCCTCTAATAAATTATCAGCATACAATTATTCACATGTGCCGTGCAAAGAGAATTCTCAATAATAACAGCAATATTATGTAATATGTTCTTCCCCCCCACCCCGCACTCAGCAGTGTTTGCACACTCGACCTGCAGCCGCTGGCGACTGTTGCTGTCACCGCCGTCGTTGTCAAAACCGGTACCGCACACAGTGCTTTCTGACCACACAATATTATGTAATGATCCCGCAACCAAACGACACTGCCCCAGCACCATCGCCAATCAGCTGCCGTACGACTATCTCACTTTTGGATTTCGGTTTTCGATATAAGATATACTCCACTGACGCTGGTCACTACTCACTCCATTTTTCGTCGTCCTAAAGTACCGACCACGGTTGATCACCGCTCCACCTAGGACTATCCTGCTATTTTTGTGAACAACGAATGACGTAAACTCGCTGCATATCACGCCAGATTTGGTGTCGACATTACCTGTCAGAACCACGTATCGTTTTTCCTGGCTCAATACCAACACGCCATGATGGGCTAAGTTTTCTACGACGGGCCCGAGGTCGGGCCATGCTACAACCACGTCATACCAGCCGTCAAACCAGCACATCATCATCGTCAACATCATACTCGGCTGTCGTAAATATAATTCCCCTGTTCCCCACTTTTTTTCTGTCTTGTCACTTAAAAGCACGATACTTGTAAAATGTGCGTTGCAGAACGCCAAAGTGTGGTTGCCATTGGGGCCTAGCGGGTAACCTCCTACGCGTTCACACACGGCTAGCGTAAAAAACCAGCTGTCCCTGTGCGCGTTTCAGTAGGGGGCCCCGGACCACACTTCCAGACGTTTCGACCCTTCGCCCCCCCCCCAAATCATTTAAACTGCGCCCGGTAACCCTGTGGAGACCACCACGAGTAATGTGATGTGTCGATCCCCGTGGGCCGAGCGTCTTTTCTTTTTTTTTTTACCATGTGCCTTTTATATTCATTATTGTATTTGAAATGTGCCTTTTATATTTGTTGTACTTGCCATGTGCCAGATTATGTTATTACAAAATTATTGATTACTTAAAACCCCTGTAAAATACACTCACGTGATTACCTTTAAATTACAACTTATTATTTCATAACCCACACACCCTTTCCCCAAAATAAACCTTGGAGTTGCAATACTCCTTCCATATATCAAAGCCTGCGAGTTCCACCGACTTGACATTTGGGTCTCACGCGGTGCGGCTCGCAGGTCACGAGAAAAGTGGTCCCCTTTTTTCGTGGGTAGTTTTTTTGTGGCCCTAAAAAGCCCAAAACCTTACATGTGTTTGAAAATTATTATGCATGGTAAATATTTGTATTTCTGAATAGATGTTTTATGTATTAGTTATATGCATAGTAAAAACATTTTAAATTTAGTACTTTATTCAATACAATTTAAAAAAATAAAAAATTTAAGGCGATTCATCTTCCCCCCTGTGACCAGCTATCACCATTTGGACACTGTCACTGTCCATTGAAGTGGTGAGTTCCGTCATGATTTATGTAGCCATTACCATAGAGCTACAACACTTTCCAGTGTATACTCGCTCCGAAATAAGTGGGACTAAGGCAGGGAGTCTTCGCAATGGCATTAATGAGTACGGAAAACCTTTATGTATTAATCATTATGACCTCGGGCGTTACAAAGGAGAGCTAGATCAGGTCAAAAAGCGCAATCTACTGATTAAAAAAATCGATAGTTTAAGAATTGATTATCAAAAAATCGATTTTTTTGGCACCGTTTTTTTTTTAATCGATTTTTTTGTCATAAATCTAGTTTAGGGGCCAAGCGATTTTTTCAATTTTTTTTATCGAAACTTATGTATCTCATCGAGTTAAGAACGATGATGCAATCAGAATTTGTCGCTCTCATTTAGTTCCGAAGTTATGGCCTTCCAAAGTTTTCGATTTTACGTTTATACGCATGCGCGCAACACTACTATAATGACGCATGGGGACCATTTTTGTTATTTTTTGGTACATACGTACTCGGTATACCTTTTTTTTTTTGAAACTTATGTAGTTATGTATTATGTACCCTGTGACATACTTGAGGTGGTGTTGCATAGCAAGTCGGGGGATATTTTCGATTTGCGGAGCGGAGCGATGGCGCCGAGGAGCGTAGCGACGAGTGCCGATACACGCGTAATGACTGCTCATATACTACGACATCACTTTTCCTGTAACCTACAAGGTGGTGTTAATGACTTACGCGTAATGACTTTGAATTGCCATAACTTTTGAACAATAAGTTTCCGGAAATTTGTCCGAGCGCAACGCAGCGAGCGAGTGGCCACGCTTGCAGATAATATACATCAATTATAATTTGAAAAATACGTAAGATAAGATAAAAATTATTAAGTGTTTATAACATATACGTAGAAAAACCCATGTATTAATCGGGAAACGTAGATAAAAGTTAGGTAAGTCTATACGCACCTGCTGAAAGGTTAAATGTAGGTAGTTGAAAAATAATCGAAAAATAAATTTGTCATAACTGTTAGTAAAGTCACGTTATACTGTAGTTTTAAATCTTACAAAATGTCTGATCTTAATTTTATTGATATCTTTGAGTTGTTTGAATATAAAACCAATGGACCAGTTTCACTAACTGTGATTCAAAAATTACAGTCATGGAACTTGATGGCAACTGACAATTCATTGAAGTGCGACCAGGGACATAATTTAATATTATGTGCTAATTTGGAAGCAACGGATGGGTTTCAGTGGCGATGTCGAAAATCGTATGTTGATAAAAATAAAAAAAAAAGTGAATTGTAATACACGACTGTCGGTACGGAAAAATACGTTTTTCCATAATTCACATTTATCCTTATACCAAATTGTATCTTTCTCATATTTATGGTTGGAAAATGTTTCACTTCGGTTTATTGTGAAGCAGATTAAAATCGCTCAGCAAACGGCTGTTGACTGGTCCTCTTTTCATAGGGAGGTGACTATTTCTTCTATGATTACACATCATGGGTAAATTGGTAAGAAAATTGGAAACCACGAGGTTTCGGGCGGCCAAATACGTCGCGGCACCAAAACGCTCAACCAACGTAATGTATACAGCTGGGTCGCTACAGAGACACACTTTTAGCTCGGGCACGCACACGGTAAAAACGCCGCTTTCGATAGATCGACTATTCGTCGCACACGGCACACGTGGTAGCAACGCACATACAAAGTTGGGGGCACGGCGACGCGGAAAAGGCGTCGTGCCAACGGTTAGAAAAATACAGACCTAGGGCTACGCACTTATCCTTGTGATAAAAGGTTTTTAGAAATAGTTATTGAGAATGACACCAAACGCGCTGTAGTCGTATTTTAATATTTTATTCCATTGACATACAATTTTTATACCATGATATTTGGGAGTTTTGGCTATTCCCAGCATTTTATTAATTTTGCATTATTGCTTTTACAGTTTTACGTCATGTTAAATCATTTTCGATTTTGTCGTTTTGCACTCTTGTGACTTCTTTTTTGAAAACGTGATTTAAAATATTGAATTTTTAACATGGTCTCGAATAAATGTTCAGTAATCGGTTATAAAGATTCAGCGAAAAGGAAACATATCTTTCCAAAAAATGAAGATAATTTGAAAATATGGGTAGAACGAACAGGAAATCCGGTCTTCAAAAATCTGTCGGTAGAAGCTATTCGAAGAAAGTACCAAATTTGTAATAATCATTTCGATAAATTTTGTGAATCACCCCAGGTACGAATCAAAAACTAAAGCAGTATTCGCTGCCTACATTAAACCTACCTCGTAAGTTATTTTATACTTTTTTTAGTTAATATTCTTTTTGCATATTTTTTTCATTATTGCATATTATAATTGTGTATAAATGCATAGGTACCTATTCAAAAATAAGTTATGCCATGTAGTATATTGATGATCACAAAATTACAATACCATTCTTTGTATAAGCAAAAAAGTACCCACGGGCCACGACCCACCTAATTATTAAATACCCACCCTTAAAATATTGATGGATCGACAGCTCCTTAAAAACATTGTCAACACGCCACTGATTTGAGCAAATAAACCTTGCATTATTTGGAATTGTATTGGTAGTTATAGTAATAATGTTTTCATAATCATAGTATAGTTTAATTATGTACCTACCTATAATTTGTTAATACTTTTTATATTCAATTCATGTTGATCATATTTTTTAATTCTTTAAGTGAATGCCTATTTAGTAGTTACCTCGTCAAAAGTGTCTGTGCAACTTTTGACACGTCTGTGCAAGTTTGTGAAAATTGAACAAAATCACTGGAAATTGTTCCTTGAACGCGTTTCTTCCAAGCACTTTATTTATTATGTACCTATTCCAATTTATTAAAAATTATATTATTATGTTTATTATTTATAAATAGGAATGTATAATTCACCATTGAACTGGTCTAGCAGAGAACCATCAATATCGTCCAACAACTGCATTCAAAATCTCGGTAAACAATTGTTATATAATATAATAATTTAAAAATAAGTTAAATGGTCTAGTAATTATTGATTTCACTATTATGTATACCCATTACACTTTACTAAGCTATATGTTACCTATGATTACCCATGATTACCATCACCTTGTACACTGATTACCCCCAAGGTATTTACCCCTCGCCCAAATAGTTATTCAAAATAACATTTTACCAATTATTTAGTTGTAGTAAAAATTGAATTGCAATGATTTTACAAAACGCGCTTTTTCGTCGACGAGTCCCTCGGCGGACCAGTCGATCGCCGAGAGCGTCGCGTCGTCGCCGTTTCGACGGTTTTCTCGACTTTTTCGACTAGGGTCGCGTTTAGCACCTCTACGAGACGCCCGACCTCCCCGTCGGACGTATTCGCGTTCCCCGCTAAATTTATTTATTTATTGAGCAAAAAATAATAATAATAATTCACATTTAATTAAAACATGATTTTACCGACACACCTATATGTTCTTTTATAAATACATTATAATATAACTAACCTACATGTAGTACCTACTTGATATATTACAATTTTTACGTGATTCCGATTTGGTTAAATACTGCTACAGATTATAAATACTGTTTAATACGATATTAATAAACTATATTAAAAATAGTACGACTATATGACTACTCCATTTGCCGTTTTTTTCGAAAATCATTCGAGTATTAGCCCCTTTCGGTCGTATCACCCTCCCCGTCGACGACTTATTCGCGTTCCCCGCTAAATTTATAGCCGGCGCGCGGTCTCCGAACTAGCGTAAGCAACCCGCCAATGAGAGAATTCCATTCGCCGGGCGGGCGGTCTCCCGGCGCCGTCACCGCGTTATCGGTCTTTCTTATCAATTTTTGCGATTTTTTTCAAATCCTGAAGAAAATTAAAAAAAAATGGCACCGTTCGGACCTTATTCGCCTTCCCCGCTAGATTTATAGGCCGCGCGCGGCCGTACTTTTTTCCCGTCGGGCCCGCCGCGGCCGAGATCGAGTGCGATAGGCGCTCCGCCGTCGAGCGCGTTTTTTGCAGTTTTTGTCAAAAATTTGAGTTTTAGCCCTTTTCGATGCGTCCGCCCTCCCCGTCGACGACTTATTCACGTT